TCTCGTTCCTTCGCTCTTCCAACACTGTTGTAAATTCAGGTTGGAATTCTAATATTCCTCTTTTCTGCCTCTCAGAGTGGAATGCGACCCTATGTTCTATAGTAATTATTGCTCATCTGAATGAGTACTATCACCTCTCTTAATTTGTAAAAGCAATTTAAAATCACTCTGTATACCTAAGTAACTTAAAGTGAATGCTGATTTTATATGGCGCGGCGGTCGTACTCAGAAAATGTTTCGTTACCATTGCCAGTGGGGGACGGCAGTACACAGACAACGTTTCGTGTACGCCGTCTATGGGGTGGTAGTAGTACTGAAAGGGTTAACTTTCTTAAATTAGTAACAGCTAAAAGTTATTAATCCTGTTAGCCAATCTTTTGAATGAAAATGTGCAAGTGTTTCTATAACGTTTTAATGAAAAGATGTTTCCATTGCATGGCTAACAATGAATATCAGAATCACTGGGTAGTTAATTACATTACCTACGCAGTAAAAATAGCTTGTTTGTATCAATTTTCAGTAAATTGCTTCAGTTATATTTTATAATGTAGTTATATTTCTTTATATTATACTTACAGTTATATTTCTGAATAGGTTCGTACATTTGAGAAAGTTTTACGGTATTTTAATTCCAACGTTTAGCTCGGTTAAGATGTTTTTTATCATACTTGGAAGCAAATTTTATTGTTTTTATTTTGTAACTTCCTTATGTGTAATGAATGGGGGGGTTTCGATAATTTCTGTATGCCTAACATAAATATAAGCCGATTTCCCTAAGAAAATTCGTTATGAAAGCATCCCTTTCTATATTTGAAATTATCATAAATAACTGAAAAGCATACTTACTGTTACATGTGGAATGAGATATTACAGTTACATCTGGAATCAATAACTTTCAACAAATAGCCGATATTTTATTCTCATTTGACAGCAGAATACCGACATTAGTGATCTTTTGATGTTACTATTAGGAATCCAAGTTAACAATGCTCATAAAAACTTTGCACTTTTACAAGTGAGATAACACTGAAACAGGTCTCTAATCTTTAAGGTAATGGACGTAAATACTGAACTGCAAATTTAGCTACTGGCTTCGATGGTTCGCTATATTATCTGGCGACGGAGGATTTTCTTGAATTTCTTCAAGTGTAACATAAATTATAAATAAATTCTATTAGAAAAATCTCCATGAATGATTACTTTCTCTGCAATATAAGATTTTAGCACGCCTTGTCAATATTAATTAAGCAATGAACCAGTCTTTCTCCCAAAGTCATCTTTCCTACATAAATTATTTTTCGCTTTTGACTTTATCCACAGAATCTTTATTGGTAAACTTTGACCACAGACTATAAACAAATAAAGGATATTGCTTACTACAATTATCACCACCCAGTTTCAGTAGCTATTATACTATAGCTCATATTACTATTATTATTAATGCCTAATGCACAAGAATACCTTGCCGATTTAGCTAAATGAAAACAAGCATTTCCAGGTAAATTTAGGGCAGTTTCAACTCTCTATTCAATTGAACTACTTATGTTTTAGCATGTTAATTATTGTTGCCTCAAATGAACATTCAGGAAATGAAAGCGGAATTTGAAATTTTGGTGAGATTTCAGACTAAGTATTTATTTATGAATATTTGGCTGATCTTTGGAATATGGTAACAGGTAGTTTGGCGACATTTTGGAGGCGATAAAGGTTACTACCTAGGACTTGGTAAAAGTGAGTGAGTACTCAGTTCCGATTACGCAATATTTTGTGTGAGGGAAATGAGAGATCATGAGATATGTCATGTGAATTAATGGAGAATTATAGTTCTTTAATCGGAAAAGGGGTAAAATTTGGAAAAATATCTGTAGTACGATATATTTTGTATTAAGCTCATTGTGTGTTGATTAATTTTCGGATTGCATGGCGCTATGTAAATGATTCTAAATTTTTAATGCGTTTATCTGATAGAAGTTGAGATTGTGTGAAAGGAAGGATATTACAGTAAGTTTGAATGGCGGTGCAAGAATCTGGTTTGAAAATGGACATTTGTGAAACGGAGTGTAAGGAAGGGTACGTGTTTGCTGAAAGTAGTTTGAGTAGGGGTGAAATTTTATTAATTTCGTATTATTGGTGAATAGACTGCAGTTTGACTACTGGATTTCGGATTTAGAAATTAGCCGTAGTACTGCAGCGATTGGAAACTCTTTCTGTAGGGAAGTGTGCGTGCCAACGTAATGAAGATTCTGAAGAAGATTAGGTAAGTTAGTATTTTAATCATTTGAGGATTTATTTTTATGCATTGTTCTAAATGTAAGGAGTAAATAAATTAATATGGTATTATTGCAAAATTGTCATTAGCAATGATTTAGTTTAAAGTAATTAGGATTGTAATCTAATTTTATAATTTAATGTATGTGCTTATTTATATTTTAAGTAGTTTTTTTAATTTTAATTATATTTTATTTAGATCGGATTTTGTGAGTATATGTTTGTAGTATTTGGAATACGTTTGAGTAGTACGTTGAGTATTTTAATGCATTTGAAATTTTTCAATTATGAGAAAAAAGCAGTGTACATGGATTAGTGAAGATGCGCATGCCATTTTTGTGCAATTCTGAGATGTTTTTTTTTAAGTCTTTGGGTTAATTTTTTATTAAATGATGTTATTTTGTGAATTTTGTTTGTAGCAATTTGGTATACGTTTCAGTTGAGTAAACGTGCATGGAATAATTTAATATTTGACACTAGTATTTGTAACCATTTTTAATGTCTGCGGTAGAATTCGTTGCTGACGTTTAATATTATAGAAATTTAGAGGTTAAAAGTTTTGGATATTTTATTTATTATACGTGGAATGTTCATCCTTTATGTATACTTTTTTTGCGATCAGGTAATTCATATGTGCTTTTTACCGATTTTAAAGATTCAGAAATGATCCTGCATTTTCGTGAAATTTTTCTAATTTATGACGAAAAAGCAGTGTACATGATCTAGTGAAAAGTGTGCGCATGCCATTTTTGTGCAATTCTGGGATTTTTTTTTTAAGTAAAATAAGTCGAGTACATGTTTAGTGATATTTTAATTAAATGATAGTTATTTTGGAATTTATGTTGTAGGAATTTGGTATACGTTCAGTTGAAGTAACGTGTATGGAAATATTTAAATATTTGACACTAAGTATTGTAACTAATGTTTGCGGGACAAAGTCGTTGGGACGTTTAAATATAATAGATAATTTAGAGGTAAAAGATTTTGGATATTTTATTTTTTTATACGTGGAATGTTCATCCTGGAAACGTATAATACTTTTCGCGATCAGGTACTTTCATATATGTGCTTTTACCGAGTTAAGATTCAGAAAATTTTCCTGCATTTCGTGCAAATTTTTGTATTAGAAAATAGCAGTGTAGAGGATAAAGTTAAGAGTGTGGCATGCCATTTTGTGCAATCTGGGATTTTTTTAATAAAAATAAGTCGAGGTGTAAATGGTTTATGTGTATGTGCTATTCTGAAAACGCGCAAGGATTTGCGATTGTGCACTTTTCCCAATTTTGCATTAAATTTGTCATGATAAGCAGTTTGTTATAAAATTTCTAACAAAGTGTATTCGGCTATTTGATTTTTGGAAAAAGTGTTGATAAATAAAAGAAAAGAACATGTCTTTACTCGTGAAGACAAAATGGCGGCGAAAAAAAAATAGAGGATTGCTGTAGCAGAGTTTGTCGCCAAATTTTCGCCAAAAAATCGCCAAGTTACCATAATCCAAAGATCAACCGAATATTTTCCCTTTCAAAAGGCTAGACACTTGTCACGTGTTCAACTGAAGATGGCCTCAGTAAACTTTTCGTTTCACACTGTCATTAATAAGACGTTTTCTAGCGTAAACCATAGGGTTCAGATCAATATTGCATCCATAAGTGAGAATTAAATCCGAGCCTCGATTTCAAGTATGAAATCTGCCTATATAAAAGTAGCCAATGTAGCCTTTATGAAAAATATTTTACAATAAATATTTAATGCAAGATTTTTAATAAATGATCAAGATAACAGAGAAACCTGAAAACATTTAAATACCTCTCTTTATGAGACATTTCTTTCTATATGACACTTTCATTCTCTTTTTGGAATATAAAACAACAACAAATTATATACAGGAGGAGTTATACGAAATTTAATTATTTTTCTCATTACCAAAGCAAACGTATTTCATGCAACATACATAATTTTCTTCCAGATGAAATATTTATTGTTCATATTTACACTTTTTGAAACTAAATGCTAGTAAAGGTTTTTATGGAATTTTTTCATAAAAACCTTTACTAGCATTTACTAGAAAGCATTTACTAGAAACCTTTACTAGAATTTTTTATGGAACTTATTTTATTTTTAAAATAGGTTTGTGGGATATCAATCATAGAACAGTAATCAAGAGTCGCATCAAGAACAATCTCTCGTTATACGCTATCTTAATCGCGATTCTGAATTCTTCTAAAAATTTTAGAAAAGGTACATTCATTTATACTATCTTTGCTCATTTAAATTAATAAGAAACAACTATTTAATGCTTGGAATCTAAACAAAATGTACAAAATTTTATTTCTTGTTTCTTCTACTGTTTTTTATAAGAAACAGGAAAATGCTTTTAGATTTCCTTACTTTTAATACTAAAATATTTCTTTAATTCTTTAAACAGTTTTGAATTTTTTTGCATTCAAATTCGAATTAAAACATCATTGCTTGGAAAAAGCAACAGGGAAGACTTCTATTGTCTTAGAAAATTTCTATTTAATGGGGCAAATTACGAAAAGTCTATTTGCCTACTAAGCAAATAGCTCTCCCGTGCTTAGCCATATTTTAAAAATCTAATCTGATCCAATCCATTCTGCTCGTTGTTCTGTAAAATAAAGATAAGATATAATAGAATTATTCGTAAAATATAGCTCCAAAGTTATTTTATTATCTTGTGAAGGACCTCTTCTGTATAAGCAAAACATACCTACCTAGCCAATCCAGCATAATGGTCTCTAGTTCTGTACATGCTGGACTTGCAGCCTGGAAAAACAAAAAGAATAGGCATTTATGCGTATTTCTACTTAATGCAAATGAAGTTTTTTTAATTTTATGATAGTTTAAAATTAGTGTCGCAAAAGGAAATAAAAGGAGAATTTTAAATGTTTTTAAATTTAGAGCTGAAAACACAATTGTTTAATTACTACTAAAAATTTACAAATTATAATTTGTAATTAATTAATTGGCTTTGCCAATTAATAAATGCTAGTTACAAAATACGACACGAACAGAAATAAATAAACAAGCTATAAAACTATATGAACTGAGCTTCAAGATTCCAAAAAATTATTCTTTTATATAACAGGAATGGTACACTACAAAGAGTGTTAGCACATTTTAGAACGATATCGATAAATAATTCAAAAAATTTAAATTTAGAGAAATGTCTTCTGGTACCTATAAATTTGTTCTTCTTTCAAAATGTCGCATGTTAACAAACTGTAGATTGGAAGATGCATTTTTGAAATTTTTGAAGAGAAACATTACGTTACGTATATATATTCAATTCAAAAACTTTACGAAACGCATTACATTGAAATTCCTAAGTGCGAAATAAGCAACAGTATTAGTTCGAAAGAGACAATCCATCATCATTATTTTTACACAAAAAAAAAAAAAAAAAAATCCCGGAAAACGTACGTACTGTTTCTAATGTTTCTAAAGTAAAGACTCTGTTAGCAACAGAAAATCCACCAATGCAAAAATCAGTTCCAAACGCTTTAAATAGAACATAGCAACAATAAACAAAATCGTAAAAAGATTTACACTTTAAAAAAACGTTTGACCGTACGCATTTCCGACGTTCGACCAAACGCATTTCCTTCTTACAAACAGGACATCTAATAATGGCTACTAAGTAAACCTTCATTTACACCAGTCAGTAATGCTCTTTTTCCCTTTCTTTCAAGTCGTACGACTTCAATTAATCTTACTACATTCAGCCATTGCCGTTAAACCAAAAAACATATACTTCCTATCCAAAACACAAACCTCACAAGCCCTCACGAATGTACTGCAATCATGCAACCGATTACCTCATAATAGGGTTTCCATAACATTCAACTACTCAGGCTACCATACATGAAACAACAACTTCGCAATAATATAAGGGGTACCCTTCTCTCTATTCTAACCATATATATATGTAAAATATAAAAAATACGATGGCTTTGCTGTATGCGAACAAGCAACCTCTAATTAACTTTTCGCAATTTCAGGATCGTTCCCCTAGACCAGTATTTTCGAGAACATTCGAGCATATTACGTAACCGCTCCTATAAATGAAGAACTTGCGCTATTTTGCGTCAGAGACCGCTTTCTCCCTTTACTGCTGTTAAGACCTATGCTGCTGCTGCTTTTCTCATCTGCCTCCCTTTGTTCGAATACTATGACGCAGTGAATTTTAAAGTTAATCTTATTTAGTAAAGAATAATGATCTCTGCCGTTTGAAATGAATAAAGATATAGAGCTATAAATTTGAATCCTTCTGTGTTGTCTTTGGATGCCGCCTTACACTCAGCCATTACAATGTCCAGAATTCTGATGTGACCAAGCTTCACTCATGTGCATTACTGCCAAAATATTACATATATATACTATAAATTAGCGTTTATATATATAAACTATATACTAAATACGAATTAAAAAAATTAAAAATTAACTTACTTAAAACTGGTTAAAAGAAAAACGTTGACGTTAATGGTGAGGAAAGTGGCGGGAAATAGCTTTCAAAATAGCAACGAAAGGCGTTTCCTGTTTTTCCGCCAAGTAAATTCAGCTAAATAGGTATGCAAATAATGGCGGCTTATCCCACTTTGTCGCTTGTTCCTCCATTTTGCGGAACCCCACATCCTTTCAACGTGTTGAGTATGAGTCTGCGTAGATGGGTCAACAAAATTATATCGATGATTCACCTTAAAATGTTCCAAACCGGCAGCAATGAGCTCCTCTGTTTGATATCCAGGCCACGAATCTGACATTATTGTTGAGCCTTCAGCAATATTAATTTGGATTTCATGCATTAATGTTGGTTCCAGACAAACATTCCGATCTGGAACTTTGACTAGAAATGTTTCTTTTGTTTCCCGAAAAATTCCACCGAAGACCCATTATTGTGGCAAGATACGACCTTTCTTTAGACGCGTAAAAAGGCTTTTGTCAATTTCGACAATCATTCCGGGCCCTCCAGTTGTCATATTTCGATTATCCTCCAAATCCTTCACACACACTTCACGCATAATAATTATTCCAATCAATAACAGTCTTATCGGATAGATCCAACTGATGTTTGCACCATTTAATGAACGACTGTTCTTATGCCCCAAAGTAAATAAATCTTAAAGTTTTTAAAATTCAATACGACTACTTTCAAACCACGTATCAGTACGGACACTAAACTTTTGTTGACGATTTTTTACATTGCATCTCCAATACAATCCTGAATTATAAAACTTCATATCATGCCCGTTTTTACAAACGCGCTCTTTGGGTAAAATTCCAGCCTTTCTGAAAATTTCTATCACTTCTTCTTCATTTGAAAGAAGTTAGAAACTTTTGATAACCATTGGGAAAAATAACCATAAAAAGTTTCGCGTGTTTAACCTAAACGTAATAATCCGCGTAAATGTAGCCAAAAAACGGTGTGGTAATAGCAAGTGCGGGACTAGCGAGATAACAATCTTTATTTTAGCGCCCTCTAAAACGGTTACAGCCGAAAACATCGCGGCAAAAACATCGCGGACGAAAACGTTGCGGAGAAAACAACGGAAGGCGAAAACGTCGTGCTACAAAACATCGCGGAGAAATCGCAAAGAGAAGACATCGCAGTTCTAAAAAATCGTCGTACAAATCATCGTCGTCGAAAATAAAGCGGTTCAAAAACTTCGCAGTTTAAAAACATCGTCGTCGAAAATATCGTGGTACAAAATAAAGTATCTACAAATCATCGCATGTTCACTTACGATTTGTAAGTCTCGTGCGATACTTTGTGGTGCACGAGGATTTCTTTTCTTTAAATAAAAAAAAAAAAATCTTCGCATGACGATAACATAGCAGACATGCTTTATTCAAGCTTTAGCATGGCATTTTTACTTTCATATTTTTTTAACTAAAATTTTTTCCTGAGAAAATAAAAAAACTTAAGCCTAGAAAATTATGCAACTTTAGCACTTATGGAATTTAAACTGACATAGTTAACTCACAAAGACCATTAGCAATCAATTTTATAAAGTTTTTTACTGGTAATGTTTCATGAGAAGTATAATCTATAAGTGCATTTAATTTCTATGCTAAGTTTCCTTCTTACTTTTTCAGCAAAAATTTATTAGTTATAAAAAAATGTGAAGGTAAAAATTATCCTTCTTTACATCTGCGCTCCAAATCATTATGGGAATATCCATTTACATTATTAAAATTGAGAAAAAGCATGTCTGCGATGTTATCGTCATGCGATGATTTGTAGATACTTTATTTTTTACCACGATATTTTTGACGACGATGTTTTTAAACTGCGAAGTTTTTGAACCGCTTTATTTTCGACGACGAAGTTTTGTGCCACGATGTTTTAGAACTGCGATGTTTTCTCTTTGTGATGTTTTCTCGCACGATGTTTTGTAGCACGACGTTTACGCCTTGCGTTGTTTTCTCCGTGACGTTTCCGTCCGCGATGTTTTTGCCGAGATGTTATTGGCGGACACCCTCTAAAACCTATGTTATAGGGTTAACCTGTATAATCTACAAGGGTCGCCAGTTTTGGAAGATGTCTTGGTAATCGACATAGTACGTAAATGCCTACGTTTATTTTTAATGAGCTTACAAACGTCCTTGTTTGAAGGTATGGTCCTAGTCAGGTTACAATTTTGTATCAATTATTTTTTAAAAGCTTGAGAATATGCTAAAAATAATTTTTCTGCCCGCCATTAAAACCCTTTGTTGCTCAATGTTCTACTACATTGGAACACCCAACTTTAATCGCTTCTGAAACCATTAAATTCAACCGTAAATGGATAAAAATGCCTTTATAATATACTTTGAACTTTTCTTTTTAAATAGTAGATGGCAGCATATCACAAGGAGATCTGGAATTTTCACCTATGATGTGTTCTTAACCTTTTAACTGTCATGCCCGAGATTATCTCGGGCACAGCACTGGTGTTCGAAAATGTCACGCCCGAGTATTTCTCGGGGTATTTTTTTTTTTTTGAGTGCATCCTATTGTCATACCCGAATATATATCGGGAGATGTTTATTTCGGCTACATTTGGTTTTTTAAATAAAAAAATTTGACAATTTGTGTACCCAAATTATCAAAATAACTTGACAGTTAAAGGGTTAAAATCCACTTATTTTCAAGTAATTTTTTCTATTTTTTGTGATACAAAAAAAAATTGTTTGAAAAAACATTCTGTATAATTTTAATGGCTGTACTCTATATTTTTTTTTTAATTTTTCGTACAAAAAGCAAGTGCATAATCATCGAATAAAACAGAGTGTTCCATCAGCGGGAACACTGCGCCTCTAGCGATCTCATGCTATTACGCATCAGAACATCCGTTTTTAGGAGAAAACATCTCTTGTATACGTTTTCTGTTTCTGTTGTTTTGGCGGGGAATAAATTCAAACAAAGCAGTATTGAAGGTGAGGTGAGGTTTGTGCTATGAAAGCCCTATTATGGGCATCTTGAAATTTTTGTGAGTTAAAGCGGGAATTTTATCAGTAGCTCGTCATCCTTTCAGTAGCTCGAGTCATCCTTTTAGCAGCTCGAGTCATCACAAAACAAGTTTTCTGTACAAAACCTACAAAGTTGGTTTGTGCTTCTATTAAAAAGGTGTGACATGCTTTGAACAATTTCATGAAGCTAAGAAATCGAAACATTTGTAAATATTTTTATATAGGACTTGCTTATATACATATATTTATCTCATTTATCCGTATATATTCAAGAATATTGTGTATATCCGGAAAACCATGTATACAGCCATAAT